ATATATAAACAAAGCAAAACTGGAAAAACAACAACACAGATTTGTACCCTATTCTGATACTGTAGGTTGGATCATGACACCCATCATCTCTAATCAACATCTCCAATGCCATCTTGAAATGATTGGAACAGGTAGTCCAATATATAAGAAGAAGATATTGTGTTTTAAGTACTCCATAGACAACACTAAGTCTCAGTACTGTAAGCCCAAGAAAGATTGTGACAGCATTTTGATGCCTGTAGTGCAGGCAAAGGGTAAGAATACTGATTTTTATAAGGCAACCAAATTACTATACGGTTTCTCACATACTATTTAAAATCATTTCAACAATGCTCTAGAACACTTAATTTTCACTCTTCAGGCAGGTTTACTTGTTGAACTCCTAAGTGTTGAGTAGTTCTTCACAGCTTGATCTTTGCAGAGTACAGAGTGAATCGGCACAAGTGAAGTCCACAGAATGCTTCATTCATTTCTATGAGACAGTGTTCACACTTAATTCTTTTGTTTTAGAAGCGGTCTATGCTGTTCAGGCAGATTTTGATTAAGCCTTAAAAAGAGTCTTCCTTACCTTCCCAGCAGTCGCCATGTGTTCCAGGATCCCTGCTTAGATTAGAATCTGTCCAAGCTCTTCTGTGAATGACTTTTCTCCCTGATCACTTGGCTCTGAGAGATACACAAACTACTTTGCTCCACCCTGTACAACACATACAATGTTTAATCTATGATAGGTCAGCTGGGGAAAGGGAGGGTTCATTTGCAGCTGCACTAAAAACTTCAGTGCCTTCCAAGATTTTTGCTTAAAATAATCTCCCTCCAGAGTAGCCATCCAAAGATAACTGCCATCTAGACCTAGAAGACAGATTCTAAAAGCACACACATCTCAGGGCTTAGTTCCAGATAGGTCTCTGACTGAGAACTAGTACGTTCTCAGCAAAAAACAAAACAAAACACAAACATCTTTGATTTATGTTCTCTAGCTTAAATCACGTACATAAGGGATATATATACAGTACACAACGCATTTGGACAGCTATATTAATCCCACAGGTTTGGAGACACCCTAGGATCACAACTGAGAAATACTAGTCCTCGAGGAATAGCTATTCGGTTTGCATTTTACACATCATATGTTTGTCAAGGCAAAGATTTATCAGAACAAAAATGACAGTTCATAGGACAGATAATATAAATGGAAAACTAGGACCAGTTCTTTTTCTATGGGTCCTTAACAAAATGTCCAGCACATGCAACACTAACTACCCCAAAAGCTATAGCTCTAAATTTCCCATACTGCCCTGGTGCACCAGGGAAAAATTTAAATGACTACTCACAGAAAATGCCTACCCAAAAGCTGTATTTGCATGACAGGCTTATCCATGGTTGATTTATTTTAACCTATTCACTAATCCATGGCTACTTAAGATTGATTCAATTACCCGAATTTATTATTATTATTTTAAAATTATTGTCAAATTTCTACCCGTGTGTCCCTGGAAATCAAACCCATAATGTATTCTTTGTTGGCCCAACACACTGAACCATAAGCTAACCATTCCAGTTATGTTTGCCCAATATGCTAGATTGAAATATACTTGGCTCGTTTGTAGCTCAGTATATCACACAAGCACAGCCAGTATAGAGAGTGCCAGGCAAATTTAGCCAAATAAAACAGTCTGAAAATAGTTGCCACTGTAAATTCTATTTACTTACAAGATTTAGGGAAACAAAGTTTTGCATGCAACTATATTTTTAAAAGGAATTATTATTTTGAATTTGTTATACAATTTGACAGTATATGGTTATGGTTTTTATGACTGTATTCTGATGTTACTGTATTTTTGCTTGTGAGCTGTTTAGAGCAAAATGACTGAAGCTGCATAAAATCATTTTGTGATAAAAACATGGTTTATGGCTAAGCACGTATAAATTACCCAGTTGTGGCTTATTCAATAACCCAATAAAACATGACCTAGCCTAGTATTATGCATGAATCTAATTCCTGCTTGTTGGGGGAGGGAGCTATGTTTGTCTCCTGGAGTCACTGGACCATGAATCAAAGATATTGTAAAGATAATGAGCAGTACTTTACCCCCCCCGCCAAAAAAGCCCCCTCTCTATAAAATATTGACTTTTTGTCTTTTCTTTTTCAACCAGAATTCTCACAGAATTGTCTTTAGCAAGTTTTATTAAGATGAAAGGGCCGGGGTACAAGAATTTCAGCAAGTGAAATATTTTCAATTTAACACCAACATGTATTTGGTTCTCCTTCTCACAGTATTTGCAGGAAGGAGGCATGACTCTTCCTTGATAATGGGAAAGATGGAAGCTAGTTGTTTACATAATGGTCTCCTGCATCTTTATCAGTTGGGCAACCACCTCTTACACTACAGGTAGTCCTTGACTTATGACCACAATTGGGACTGGAACTTCCATCACTAAGTGATGTGGTTGTTAACTGAGTCACACCCAATTTTACAACCTTTTTTGCCACAGTCATTAAGGAAATCACCACAGTCGTTAAGCGAATACGGCTTCCTCCATTGACTGCTTGTGAGAAGCCCCCTGGGAAGGTCACAAATAGTGGTCACGTGATCCCAGAACGCTGCAACTGTCATAAATACATGCCTTCAAATGGTCGTTAAATGAATGGTTGTAAGTCGAGGACTACCTGTATCCCTCAAAAGCTTTTTCCTAAGCTATTTTGTTTGGCTTAGAGGATGAGAGTTGGCAAGTTACACTGCTACAGTACCTACCTGAGTGTTGCTATCTGACTCCCCCACCTTCAATGCCAATCGCTGTGCACCAAAACTTATGAAGCCCTAAAGTCCTGCTTACTCCTCAAATCAGGCAACTTCTCCATGATGTGGGGACACCACAGATAGTCCAGATCCTCTTAAAATTGATCTCTTCCTGTTTTTAACTACTCACCTATTTCTTGTCCTGAAACACCTAAATTTATTACAGTAGATCTTGGCCTCTCTCTCGTTTTAATCTGTTTCTGCTCTAAAACTTATCTCTTTGCATTTTTTGCATTTGGATTGGCCGCTGGTTCTCCCACAAATATTAAAGGCCTGGACCTTGATGTTTTGAGATGAATTTGAACATAGTAAGTGGAAAAGTTTGGACTCTCTTCCAGGTGATTCAATGCTACATTTTTTTTTTTTTTACTATGAAGTTATTAACAAGCCTCAAAAGGTGATTTGACTCATTAGGCCTACAGTTAGCAAGATGAAGACAATTTCACAGGTGACAAATACACCGACCCTTCAGCCTGCTCATGTTGTACTGGTTGTTTTGTCTACTTTCCATAACTATGGACTAATAACTAATAACTAAGCAGCTGAGCATTTGAAAATGAAGATAGTGAATTCTTAAAAGCAGGGGATGGCTAGAAAAAACCCTGAACGCTTCCAGTTAGCAATTTTAATTGTGAGAAACATTAAGAAATGGAAGTTATATGGAACTGCTGTAGTCAAAGCAAGATACAGAACACAAAGCAAAATCTCAGCTAGAACTCACTACAAAACAGAACCCACAGACCCACTACATACAACCTACTGAAAAGTTTAGCAGACACTGGAGTACCTTTCCACAGTTCAATAGGACATCATTACTTACACAACACTGATCTGCACAGGAAAGCTGTCAGAAGGAAATTTCTCTCTGACCTCATCACAGAAGTCAATGTCTAAATTTTGCAAAAGAAAACCTTGAAACAATCTGGGACAAAGTGCTTTGGATTGATGAAACACATATCAAACTGTCCAACCACAATCATGTAAGTTAAATTTGGAGAAAAAAGGTGAAACATTTGAAGACAAGATGACCTTGAATACAAGAGTTGTGCCGCTCTATTATGCGGTACAGTTGTGAGGCAGCCAGTGGCCACAGAAACTATTGCACAAATGGAAGGAAAAATTACTTGAACTAAGTAATAGTACAATCTGGAAGTTAATGTACCACAGGCAGTTAAACTGAAGGTACAAAGGGTTGGATGGTTCAGCAAGACAATGATCTGAAACATACCTCTAAATCAACCTTGAAGCACTAATAGGAAGAAAGATAAAATAAGTTTAGACTTGCTTTCACAGTCCTCATGCTTGACTATTATTACAAATCTGTGGGGAGATCTCAAACACGCAATGCATACAAGAGATCTAAGAATATTTCTGAGCTAGGAAGAGTGGGGGGAAAAAAGCAAAAAAAAAGCTTCCAAAAAGCAAGACTTAGCTGGCTACAGGAAACATTTGGAAGCTGTTAGTTCTATTAAAGGAGCTATAAGAAAGTACTAATTGAAAGGGTGTTCAAACTTCTCCATCCACCATATTGGTTTTTTTTTAATTAGTTATCCATATATTATAAGTATACATTCAAATAGCAAAATGATGTGCAGCTCTGTATCATGTAGTGAGTTGTGTCAAATTCTATTTGCTTACGAGATTTAGGGAAACAAAGTTTTGCATGCAACTCTGTTTTTAAAAATTAGTTTTAAGGCTGCCTTTCATGAGGATTTCTAATACATTTTCTCTCATATTGCTAGCATTTTTTTTTTTTACTAGCAGCACATAATGCAAAATAGCATTCAATCCTACTTAGATGAAAGCCTTTTTAATACTCCCTTTGACATTCAAATCATTATTCTTCCTTTTGCATGACTCCCAGGAATTGCTCCAACTTGTTCAAGGCTTCCAACATCTGACTGGGTGACCCCAAGACAATATAAAAATCATATTTCTTTCATCAACAAAAATTCCACACAACATAAATGGTTTCAGTTCACATAAGGCCAAACAAAATGGCTTGTATCTTTTGAAAAGGATTTTTTCCCCATCTTTTCTCTTTTAAAAATAAGATACAATCTTTTGGTCTCGTCTCTACTCCAAAGTCCCAAATTAAGTTTTCAGTACCTTTCAATTCAGGAGTCTCTAAAGCCTTAACCAGCAATTTATTATAGCTGTCACATCCTATCATAGTTTTGAAGCACATAAAAGGATACCATAGATAAGCAGTTCTTCATGTCCACTTCCATCAGGTTTTTCCAAGCTGGGTGCCCTGCAATTGTTGGACTTCAATTTGCATAATCCCCAACCAATAAAGTTGAGTCATCTGAAAGTTGAAGTCCACATAACTGAAAGGCACCCAGTATGGGGAAGGCTGATTTATATTACTGAGACTGTAAGAGCATGGTTTGGTCTTGTCCTCATTATTGTTGGTTTTTGGGTTGACATCAGAATGACTTCAGATCAATTGCTTTATGTTATAGATGAATCCATTCTTAGTATATCTTCAGTATTTAAAATCTATTTGGTTGATTTCTTGGGGAAATGGGAATTGGCTAGAAGAATTGTAAAACACTGGAGATGCAGATGATTTGTGACTAAGGATTGTTCCTGTTGTATGTGTCGACAAATTTAAATGAGCCTTTTCCAACCAAAGGTCAAGGAAGAAAACTTTAAAGCAATATAATGAAAGTGTTGCAGTTGTCCCACTTGTCATGCTTTGCCAGGCCCTTTTTAAAAAATTGCTATGCTTATCCAATTTGAAGCAGTGTTGATCCTTTGATGCTATTGTATGTGTACTTTTCTTTTGTTGATTAGTTTTGCATGATACAATTAAGCACACCTAAAATAATTATTGGAGCTGTTGATAGATGCTTTGGCATATCTATCTCTGTGTCCTTACTATGGCCAAAAGACTGATATTGCAACATTGGAAAGATAAATGCATGGCCCCTTTTACTCAATGAATTGAAGACCTGATTGCACTTGCCACTTATGAGAGGATTGCCTATAGACATAGACTTTGTATGGACAAGTATAATGA